CTGTGCTTTGCCAGCCAAGTTCCCCCTGCGAGGCAAGCTGGCAAGACTCATGGTACAAATGTCAACACAACCCTTATGATAGAAATAACTCTCCAGACTTCTGCACCCTTAAGATGCACATATAAATTCTTTATTATTTGTGCTTTCATACGCAGAAAACAAACCAAAGAGTGGCATTTACACAGCACAAACAAAAATTCTGAATGTAGCAGAAGACCAAATTGTCAGGGGCTCTTACACTTGCCATCGTCTCACAATCAGATGTAGTTTTTTTTCTCTACTGTGGACTTTTGTTTTTCTTTTCAAGCCATCCCTGTTGACTCTTCTGTTTTGGTTTAGCAGTCTTTCCTTGCTCTCCCTTGAAGTTTTGTTTCCCTGCTCAGCAACAGCGGTTTACTTCCCCTCATCTAAGCTCAATATAGCGAGAGAGGCTTATTGTTTTTAACTCTTGTTGTTGTGGTTTTGCTCTCTTTGCATTCATTCACTTGAAATTTTTCCACAAATGCACACTATTCCCCGTCATCTTTACGCCTGTATGGACAGAGTGACCAATGTCTCGTGCACTGTAAGAAGCCTTTGTGTGGATGTGATAAAATATCTACTAGAATTTGATTGAGTAAAAGAAGATACTTGACAAAAGATCATTCATTGTCAGGAGAAGTATGAGTATCAAACACAACAACAACAACAAACACATTGTTTAAATGGTCATTCATGAGTTAGGGCCTGTGTCCACTGAATGCATTTTTTTCCCCCTGAGTGCTTCTCACTAATGCTCTCTGTTGCCAGTTATAAAATTTATCCCGCAACTCTTCTGCTTCTTCTCATAGTGACTGTTATTTGACAGATTTCTCAAAGAAAATGTTAAGATAATTGATATAAATCCTATTGAAGCATCAGCAGAAACTCGACATCTGAACGTTTTTTCACCCGAGGAATCAAGCAAGGTTCATTTCTTGTCTTGACAGAGTAGAGTTGTTAATTAGTCAAGAGTAGGGTTTAAAAGGGGTTGCAAATTTCTGGAAAATTTCCAGAAACTTTCCATGGGAAGTTAAGCTGGGGAATTTTGGAAATATTCCAATTTGGAAACTTCCCATGAAATTTATGTATATTATTAGGAATTTATGGGAATTAACTGGAAATTGGGGGTAATTTAAATGTAAATATTTTAGTTTTGTTATAAGCAGACATCCATGCAAAATGATACAATTAAAAAACATTTCAACAGATTTATTTGAGAGGTGATGGTGAATGTGGCATTTTTCTGTAGAATAAAATAACAAAAAGCTTCTAAAAACACTAATGCAATGGCGTGAACAGAAATAAAGTTGGCTAAACAACTGGAATGGTCCTCAAAATATTTGACAATTGATGTATAAATTATTGTTTGGTTACAGAAAATCATCTTGCAGGAGTCAGAAGAAACAGCATCACATTTGAGATAGCCACCACCACCATAGTAGGCTAGCCCCGTAAATAGTTTTTTTGCAAGTTAAATATTAATACTATTATAGATCAAATAAATTTACCCCATAATGTTGTTTTAGCTGAGATCATGCTACAATATATTTTCCCCAACTATATTTAAGTTCCCTGATGAGGGCCAAAATTCAATTTTGTAAATTTCAGATTTATTTCCATTAATTCCCATGGAAAGTTTCCAACTTTGAAAATTGACTATAAAGATGGCCTCCCTGCACTTACTGTAGGTCACTGTATGCTAAAATGATGATGTGCATTGTTTTGCGCTCAAATTAGGTGCAAAAAATGCTGTTAGTGGACATAGGCCCTTACAGTAATGCATCCTTATTTATACAGGAAAATACATTTGTATATCGGTTATGTGGCTGTCTTAAAACATTGTATGGTAGACATACTGTAGGTACTTATATAATAAATCTTGAACAAAATTTCGTAATCATGACTTTGAGATGGGGATATAACTCCAGACTTTAAAGTGTCACCCCAACATTTACAATTAAAGGCTTTTGTGATCTTTATACCTTAAACTTAATCAAAACAAAAAACTTGAGGACTGCTTCCAGAAAGGTCTAGATGGTCACCTAAAACAGAGAAGAGATCTACACTGTGTAATAATCCTCTGCTGTTCAATGGTAAAAAACATAATAAATGTACTTATGTGTACTTTCATAGATCGGACACACTCAGGAAATACTGTAAGCATTGAGATACCATCTTAGCCAGATACCTGAGAGTGATGCTGTCCTTTGTATCAGCAAATTCATCAGCTGACTTTGTGGGTGCCATCACCCACTGGGTGTTTTACTGAGGCTGTCTGACTCCTCTGCTCATTCTTTGGACCTGATAAACACTCTGCTGTAGCTCGCTCTGCAAAAACACTCATCTCCACCCTGGCTTGTTGTAATAAGGAGGAGCTACTGAACCATTTCCCAGCAGCTTTTATTGGTGCTCATGTTTCTAGGTTTGGGGATTTTGTTCATTCATGTTTCATATTAATTTAAAATGCAATACAATTTTAGTGCAGAAAATACAAAATCCTTTCCTTGTAGTCTATCAAAGGACTAATCCAAATCACATAATTGGGTCTTGGTTTGAAGCCACATCATATAAGTCTAATCAAATGCTTATTAACTCATTAAACCATTCCACACATGCTTGCAAACATGCTCTCTCATTTGAACTGAATTCCCATGAGAGCATCATTGTAGCTTAATTGCTAATTGCCTCACTGCCACATAAGAGGCTGTTAGGCTGTGAATGCTGTACATTATGGTTAACTCAGTTCTACTGATGATCTAATAACAATATCTGTGATTGCTTCATGCATCCTAATGCCACAGTGTTTGTTTATTTTGTTATTTTCCAATTGCGATTGAGCCTTAAATATGTTTTATTCACTTTTGTACCATTTTTGAGTTTTATAAGAGAGTTTATTATTCTTGCCCCAAGTCAGAATTAGCAAAATATATGATGTGTTTTAACTGAAGTGGATAGAAGTTGATTGAGATACAAGATGCATCTAGTTACACATAAACTTTTCATCTTCCAGGTCTGCACACTGTAGATCCTTCTATTCTCTAACTCCCTACTCCTCAATGCAAGACAGCTTTCCTCTGTGATTATGGCAAAGTTAAAAACTGGGTAACACATATGCTTTAAACTACAGGTCTTAAGATTAATTATGATGTATAATTTGCATAAGTTTGAAAGGAATTTTTCTGTCACTCACAACGCTCTCATTGCCAAACTGTAATTATGTTCTTCGACACAACAGTGTGCAGCCAAAGACTGTATAAACTATGGACAACTTGGTTCCGCCTCCCGTCATTATACAGAATTTTCGGGGATTTTTTTCCACCTTCCCGAACCCCCACTTGTGCAGTAGTGTTGTACGCATTCCGTGGGAGAGTCGCTGTGATGATGCTCTGCTAAAACAGCATTTCTCCCCTGGTGAGCTAGTTTAGTTTAGTTTAGTTTATTTGTTTATTTGAACAGGTTGAAAGAAAAACAAAATAAATACAATATATAATGTGCTTTGGCAGAAAAACAAATAAAGACACAGCTCTGTAGCAACATAGATAATCATACTTGGTTTGAAAGGGTGTAGGGTGAAGTTGATAAAACACGTTTAGTCCTACTCCTTTATTGTTGTGCTACTGTAATTTAATCAGTCAGAGCATGTGTAGGAATAACAGCTCAGAAGAAAGAAAATATATCAGAAAAAAGGGCACATTGCCCATTGTTATAAATTCATGTTTCTGTTTCTCTCTTAAATCCATTAAGAATGTGGTTTATAAAAATAAGTTTGAACTTTCTGCAGGTTTTCATTTCTTTGCTGCAGCTGTTCCACAGATTAACTCCTTTGACTGATATACGGTGTGTTTTTGTGTTGGTACATACAGGTTGTTTTTAAAAAATGCATATTCCCCTGAGATTATGTTTGTTTTCTCTTATCAGAAATTACTTTCTATGCTGTTGCAAATGCTCTGTGGTAACTGATTCTGAATCCTTGAACTTGAGTGCCTTCAGTTTGATGAAGAGTGGGTTGATGGTTCTCTGTCGGGACTTTTATTTACTATTTTTATTGCTCTTTTTTTGGAGTTTGTACACTGTTTCCGTGTTTGTTTTGTATGTGTTCCCCCACACTTCGGCACAGTAGGTGATGTGTGGGAGAATGAATGAACAGTGCAAGACGTATAGCGATGACTGGTTTAGAAGATGCGCAATCTTCGTCCGCCCATAGGCTGTATCAGGTGTCAATCATAGGAAACATGAACCCCCTAATAACTTTTAAAAATGGAGCTGCACAGAAAGAGGGTGCTGTTCTGATGGTGGCTTCACCCAGTGAGGAGGCAGACAGCGTCCATTCTATATATAGTCAATGTGTGCAGCCGACTGCCTTTAAGTAGAAAATCCAGGTCCACAGTATCTTTATACCAAATTTAATAATGTGGACTATATGAAATGTCTTTGGATTGGGATGTGTTGTATGAGGTTGGACTGTAATAAAGCTGCAGCCTTCATATATGAATGCAGACGGTGAGGAAAGAGGAGGATGACCGGAGGTGCACGCTGCGTCAGTGAAGCACATAACATCAAATTCACCTTTAGTTTTGATTTTACAGAAAATAATGAGCATATTTGAATGTAAAAATATCCAATCCAGCTCATTTTCAATGCCTTTCTAGGAATAATTACCTAATTTACATGAGAATGATCATTTTTTATGGAAATTATATTGATGTTTATTATCCCAGCAGATGCATATAAAATACGTGACGAACTTCTTCACTAAAATTAAGTAAAACTAAATAAAAGAGGTGATTTCCACAGATAAAGTGGTCAGCTAAAATCTTAAATCTGAAGAAAAGGAGGAGTGATTGTAAATCATCAGAAATAGATGTATAGATTATTATCAATCCCTTATTCCTCCTTCTGCAAAAGTAGAATAAACTGCTGCAAAATATTATTTAACCAGTCTATTTGTCCATCGAGGGCTGTTGCATAAACAGATTTCATTACAGTAAAATGAGAAATATGGATATAAATTGTTTAACTCTAATATGATAAACTTGACCTGTGAGGATGGACGCCTGCAGAGTGGGTTTGTGGAAACTGTACACTCGAATGGGAACCAGGGGCATTAGTAGCTGTGCCAGAGGCCTTGGCTTTTTTCCCACATGCACAAAAAAAAGCATTTTGGACTGCACTGCATCAATAAAAGCATGTTGTTTGAGCACTTTGATAACTGCAGGATATTGTTCTCCCTTGGCAAAAGCCTCTCCCTCCACCAGAGACCAAGCTCTCCTCAGCGTATATACAGAAAGCTTCTCGCTCACATCTGTAAAGCTGTTTGCTTGTAGCATTCTGGCGGCAAAGTGGGTAAAGGTCATCTTAGCCACATCTCCAGCAGAGCGGTACTGTAGTAAAGCGATGCGGAAAAGAGGAGAAGCGCAGCAGGAGAGCCGTTTTGTATAATTAAGATTCTCAGCTAGTTGCACAAGAAGAAAAAACTTAAACCAAACATTGAACAATTTTACATTTTTCACTTTTTACAGTCATGGAGGCTATGTGGGCATATGTTTTTCCTTTTCACTGAAGTGTTTCACCGCACTGTGGTTCACGCTGACCCTCGTGTCATTTCCTCTTGTCCTAATTGCCAGCTGGATTGCCATGAAAATTATCTGGGGTCAGTTTGAGGTCATGGGAGTAGGAGGCACAGCACAACTAGTGCTGCCACTGCAGGTATCAGGCTTTAGTCATTTAGGACACTAGTCTTAAAATCCCAAAATGCTGCACGTAACTAAAACAATCACTCATTACTGGGAAATACATCTGTGTCAATGCAGAGAATATATGCAGCTGATCTGTAATCTGCATACATTCTTTTACATAATTTTAGTCGTATTTTGAATCTGATTGTTGGGGTAGGCAGGATTTCATTAAAGAAGAATCTTATTTTTTTGTGGTGTTTATACAGAAAAGCTCTTAATATCAGTCAAAAGCTATTAGTTATTGATGACATTTGGTAATATAACAATATTGCTGTGTTTTGTTTTGTCTGTGTAGTCAACATTTTAAGTTTTTTGAGCAGTCTGCTCTTTCTGACTGTAAACAAAGCCGTTCTCCACCTCCTTCAACCTGATTGGTTGTGAGGCAGACGCTGCTCCCCCGTGTCGTTCACGAGCCCAAACAAAGTTAGCGTGCTACAATATCGGATAGTAGAAACCAACCAGAAACCAACCAAATTGTCCGACTGCCAACACAAGCAAGAAAACGAAAAAGAAAAAGTAAATACCGGAGACTCTGGCGAAATAATGGGTGCTCAAAGAGGAGGTAGACCGGACAAGAGCTAAAAAGCCGGGTCAACATAAACGATGGGGGACGCTTGGGGATCTTGGTGACCCTGTAACCTTTCTGCTGGACAGGTAAACCGCTTTAACAAAGTAAGACAAGTGTCTGTAACAGAAGTGTTTCTTGTCAAACGGACCTGCTGTAGCGTGTTGTCGCGCCATCGCTAAACTGTCCTCCCTCGGGTCCTGGACTATGTCACTTTATCCTAGTTGTAGAAGTCCTGCAAACATTGTGTTTGCTGGTAGTCTGTTGGCATCTACAGTAGCACCAATGCTTTTGACTTTCACCTTGACTGGGCCCCATTTGTAATGATCTGAAGGATTTATCTGCATTATATCTGAATTTAATTGGAACGATACGAGCGAGCAGGAGCGTCTGTTTGTGGGCGGGGCTTGCTGGAGCAGAGATGGAGGGGAGAGGAGGAGCTGAGGGGAAAACTGGTTGGGAGGGGTAGAGTTTATATTCAAGATTTCTCCTAAAAACTGGAACTAACTCAGATCCTGACTACTCCACCTTTAATCAAAACAACAAAACAGTCATATTTAATAAGCAAGTTCAAGTCCCCCATTATTATCCAGATACAAATGCAGTTAATGCTCAAGTCCAAGTTAAGTCAAAGTTCTAAAAATCAGGACTTGAGTTGAAGTCCTGGACTCCGGCGCTACGACACTTGGTGTGAGTATTCACGGTCCTATTGATCCGTCATTGTTTGTTGTCTTTCATCTCGCTCTGCCTGTCAATTTGGGACATGTCTTGTGAGGTTTGTGCTGTTGCCATGACACTGCACTAGAGTTTTTTTTCCCTAGCATTGCTGATGGTATCCACACTGCACTGTAATTTTACAAGCCAGAGAACCTATTCCCCTCTGTTCACTCTCTCAGCATGGTCCTAGGTCTTTGTTCTGAACCATTTGTTTCCTCTGGCAACCTCTTCACATAACAAAAGATGAAAGAGTAGAGCTGCGACTCTTTTTTAAAATATATAATATTCAGTTTTCAGTGGTGTAGTGTTTAAAAGACGTTCTTGTTTGCATGAGCAACACAAAGATAAGTGATAAGAGACAAGTCTAGAGTTTACAAAAGGTATTGTGAGGTAATTAAAGCGGGATGCCATCACGACAGGGTTTCACTTTCACTTCAACTCCAGCCTTTTTCCAAAAGCAGTCACCTTAAACTCTTCTGTCCTCTGCAGCTGATCACACGCAGCTACTGTAGCAGCATGGGGAGAGAGGGAGAGGTTGATGTGAGCTGAGATGGTGAGAATGTGTCACCTCGCCGGCTTTTCACACTCTCTGTTTTTTTGAAAATCAGGGTGACAAACAGGCGAGCGCCGTTTATGAGCAGGCGGGATGTGAGAAGATTTCTGTCAGGCCCACAACTCTATTTAGAGAAAGGGAGCAGACGAGGTGAGAGAGAGAGCAACACTTCAGCGAGAGGGGTCACAAGTTCAACGATACCTTTGCTAACATACAGTACAGCACATATGATACACTCAGGACATAGCTGTATATCATTCTGTCAGAGGGAGTATGAGGTCAGATGGGGTATCTGACCTCCAAGGGGCTGTTTGCTGCTCATGTTGACATAAATACTGTGGATATAGTGGTAGTGACCAGAGTTAAAGGGAATACTCTCTTGTGTGAAAGCAGCATGCATGACTGTATGATCAAAATGTAAAGATGAGGAAAAGTCAGTGATGATGGATTTATTGCAGTTTAGCTCAGCTGTCAGAGCAGGTACAGAAGCTACAGTTGTCATTCGTCACTCTTTTCACAGGAGTGATTGCTGTGATTGCCCTCTGCTCTCCCTCCACACATTTTCTGCCTCCCCAGGTAGTTAGGGTTAGATTAGATTAAAGTCCTACTCTGATAAAAAATCATGTTTTTCTTGTTGTCTACGTGTTCATAGGGCATTTTTCTGATGCTACAGGACATATCATGAGGAAAGAGAAAGTGTGAAATTGCAATTCTGAGTATTTCTGCATTTAAATTGCGGTGAATCTCTGGCAGACCCAAACTGCAGGATCAGACACAGCGAGATTTCCTATGTCACAAATCCAAGCTCCGCCCCCGAGCCTCACCACATAGGCCAGACTTGGAATTTTTTTATTATTATTTTTTGTTTATATATTTATTTAGACTCGGAAAAGTAAAGAGAACGATTGCGGAACAAGCGTTTGCGTTAGCAGATTGCAATGTTCATAAGAAAACCTGTCCTCAAAGACATTAGATTAGATCAGATTAGATTTTCCTTTATTCATCCCTCAGTGGGGAAAATAAATCAAACCGGGTAAAAAAAAACAAATAAATAAGATAAAGAACGACAGTGAAAAAAAGAAAGAGCAGTGCAAAGGAAGAACAGTATTAAAGACAAGTATAAGAAAAATGTAAAAGAGAAAAAAAATATCAGTGCCAAAAAAACAAAAGCAGGATGTGATGGTGATGATAACAATTATTATCATTATAATTAATTATTATACATGATTAATAAATTATTAGGGGTGAAGTATTAAAGTCCGAAGCTGAATAGCAACCAGAGAAATACAATCAGAGTGGGACTTTAAAGTCACGTGTTATCAGTGCAGATTGAAATACATAATAAAACGTATTTAGCTCAGAGTACTTATTTGACACAGTTATACACTTTCTGTTATACTAATATATAAAAGCTGCTGCTGCTGTTCGGGGTTAAACTGGGTTCCCTTCATTTCAGAGAGCCACACACACACACACACACACACACACACACACCCACATACACACACACACCCCGCTCCCTCCGTCTACAAAGGAACAGCAACTGGAAAAGGTCCACATGAGTCAACAGGCACGCATAATGCTGGAGTTTGAACCTGAGGGACTGTGTTCAATCTGGGGGACGTAATATCCCGCCACACTCCAACCCCGCCCCTCGCCGAATCCCCCACTCACTCAACTGCTCGCTCAGCCGGGCCTGCACCCCCGCCCGCCTCTCCTCACTCTCCGGCAAACTGATATCCTTTAAAGGCTGCCGGAGGCGAGGCCAGTTTACATATATCCAACTCGACAGGCGAGCCAGGAGGAAACAAGACCAATGACCCGCGTGGATCCATTCACATGCAAAGACTGGAGAAAATGAGACACTGGAAGTCTCTTCGCCTCTTTGTCACACAGTCTTTTTTTTCTCTAATTCATGTTCTTTTGCAAATTTTCTTATTTTGTTGTTTGTGCAGCAGAGTCACTCTCTCTGCATCAACACTAACCTCACATCGGAGTTTAAGGATTACCTACATGTTGGTTTTTCTAGAACAGGCTTTTTTATGTCAGTGCAAATACCATGAATACCATTTAATCTCATATTTTGTTGAATAACCGAATGAGCTCAGAGTAAAACAAGCTCAGTGTACTCTTCTGTTGACAGTCAAGCTGCAGCTGTGTTTAGCGACTACATCTGAATACTGTTTCTCTTTATTTATTCCTAATAATTTCTCTTTTTATTTCCTATTTCTTAAACTTGATGGAGTCGATTTTAAGTTGAAGATTAAACGGGGGAACATCCATGCTGTTACAAATCTTTAGGGACGCATTTAATTGAATTTCAGGCTCTCTAAAACACGATTCAGTAATTATTCGGTACATCATTTCCTCTGATTTTCTGAGCACAATAAGCACTTAAACAGTTATGCAGATTCTAGGAATGAATCCCAGGTGTTACGAAAAAAAATACAGAACTCTAAAAAGACGGTTTAGCACGCAGGCTAATTGGTGTTTATTTAGACCATCCAATTAAAATCCACTTTCAGTTTTATCATTTTAATAGACAAATTGCTCTTAATGACAACCCTGCTCTGACTCCATTTTGAGTTAAATCCTGTGGCTGAAATCACTCCAGCGAGCGTCCGTTCCAGTTCAGATGACGTGCTTCAGAGGGAGAATGAGCATTTTGTTTTGCACAGCCATTTACATTTCTTTTTGCATCGCATGTCTGTTTAAAAATCGCATTTGCAAGCCGACATGAAAGCAGAAAACACTCCAAGCATTTTGTCACACTGACACACCACAGTCCAAGGTTGACTCCAGATTTACATGATGACCATGTCGTGTTTATATCATCTGAAAACTTTTGGCTTCAAATGCGTATACAGGCAGGAAGTGGAACC